CCTGGCAACCGTTACTGTCGAGCCCTGGATCATCAGGTTTGTTAACAAGCTTCAGGCAAAATGCGGTGGATAACACTTGTGATTCTTCTTGCTTCAGCTTTGTAAGATCAGCTGCATTTTCTTTTTGTTGAAATAATGTGTGGGTGGTTATTTCTGCCAGTTTCAATACCCTATTTATGTGCGCCTCAAAGAATCTGCCTTATGCAAGTTAGATATGTCACCGCTATGACAATACCGCATTTCCACAGCATGTGTGTTCTGTTTTTCCTCTCTGTCGGAGATGCACATTGCCATTACAAACAAGACCTTAACATTTCTGTTTACGAGAGATAGGATGAACTTGACCTTGGTGTTATCTGCGGGGCGCACTTGGGTGGTTTCTCATGTGAAGCAGACGATATTGTGACCCACAGGTCAGCCGCTATGAGAGATTGAACTTCTCTGTCTTTACTGGCTGTCAGTGTTTGTTAAGATTTCGTGCTGGGATTTCTGTTCTCCAAAGGGACCCAGTCAAATAGAAAGAAGAGATGGAAACAACAGGGAATAACATACAGTAGCTGTTACTGAAATTTTGGTCAGATGGATTTTGTGTGTTCCATAAAATAGTGCTTATGTGCACAACAGTTCAAGTATAACAATACAAAACAACAATTCCTGTGCAGCATCGAGACAGCCTGATGTGTTTATTATGGATTCTCCGTGTCTACACGATCCATATCTTGTGTAAGTTATTCATCTGATAGGATTGTTATTTTAAAGTGTGCCAAGTTTTGGTCAGCTACACTTTAACTATTTCATAAAATAGTTCCCCTGTAAATTGTGGGTCAGTGGTTGGGCAAACAAATTAGTTCCTGTGAGAAGCCGCCCTGACAGCAAAAACTTCTAATGAGTCAGTGTTGCGGATGTAGTATTGGTGCTATGTGAAGTCTTCTGCAAAGTCATCGCCATCTGTTTGATTTATACTTGTGATTTATCGTAACTAACAGGATTCTTACTAATGACATGGTTTAATCCGTCTAGTCCTTTCATTGGAATCTAATGGCTCAATGAACAGCCTGGCAGGATTCATTCCGATCCATTCCACACCACCATCTTTTATTTTCTTACATAATTCTCTGCTTCACTTTTAAATTGGACTGATTCCTTATTTTGTTTTTTTTATCGTTTTGATTCAGTCCATTTATTTTATTATTTTAGAAATATTTTATTGACAATGAAACATATATACAAAACTAAAAGTAATTGATACAGACACAACTACATCTGAGCCAGACGGAATATTAAGAGGATTTAATTCACTGTTTTGTTTTATTTACAAATGCTTTAAATAATAAAATAAGAGTTAGATAGGTTCAATGTGGGTGATTTGAAATACATTTTTCTTTGCCTCTCTCCATCTGTGTTTCACTTTCTACTTTTTCCTCATGTTTCAAAATGGTAATTAGTCCAGAATCACTCTGGCGCTAAAACACAAAACCAGGAGAACATTGAATCTGAGGCTTCAGGGGCAGCTGCCTCTTCAACAGCAAGCATATGGCAGACTCCCTCTTGAAATGCACACACTGATTTTGGGGATTCGTCCTGCCTCCCCGCTGACCATTACTCTGCTCTTCATCAAACTAGCTCATGTTTGCAACCATCCTCATAAATATAAGCTAGAACTGTTCTTTGTGATGTCTCTGTTTTCTGTGTGGAGATAAGACAGGAACAGTATCTATTGATCCATCGATGTCTGCTGCTATGAATGAGTGCTGATACAATACGATTGTAGAAAAGGACACACACACACACACACACACACACACACACACACACACACACACACACACACACACACACACACACACACACACACACACAGAGACTTTGGTTTGTGTGCTCCCCTTGGCCTCTATGATCGGGGAATGTTAATGAGTGGAGCCAGCCTTCGAGCTGAGCTCGGTGCCATATGGGCTTGCCACGGGAGTGGCACTAATCCTTCTGACTGATTTAACTCACACACACAGCTTAGTCACACTCATACCTGCATCTGACAAATATGATAACATCTGGGTTTCTCACTGACTGATTAAATGTATGAAATATTCAGATTTGTGCCCTTGTTCCAAAAAAGACAATATTCAGGGTTTCGTCTAAATTAGGTAACACAGGCTCTGCACCCTCATGCAGATTTTCCCCGTAACATTTTAAAGAGATACCAGAAAACCATATTTATGTTAGTCAAAAACTGTAAAATGACTCCAAAAATATGAAAATCGTTTCAAATAGACCTTCAGACTGCATACACAGCTTCGTTTTTCCGGAGCTCCGATGCCGCGTCGTTGTTCACGTCTGCGGCACCATCTTAAACCTCCTCCTTAAACCTGAATGATTCAAGCTCGTATTCCATCTTGAGGAGTAGTCATACTATTAAGTGTGCTTGTTAACATAGTCATTGTGACTTTTGAGCCATTGGTTTGCTAAAGTTTTCTCACACTGAAAAATGTTTAACAAATGTTTTGAAAATAATAGATTCATCAAGAGTTGGCAATCGCAATGTTCATACATTTCAATGCAATTTGTATTTGGTGCCATACCTTTGATGAAAGGCTCCACATGTTCATAGCCAACACCCTGGCTCGATAAAAGTCAGTATTTTCCTGTGTTTTGGTGGCACATTATGCCATGTGCAGATGATGTCCTGGATAAATAATAGAAATTGTAGCAGAACTGTTGACTTTTTATGTCTACAGTTGGGTTTCTCCTCTTTATTCTCCATCCAAGCTTCTCTGTCAAAGACTTTAAGGCCTGGCAGGGGGCAGGTTCCCCTTAGCGGAAGCCAAACTCACACACACTCCACTCGCTTGTTCACACTGAGTCTGTGTGTGAGTCGCTCAGTGTGACATCCACACAGCCTAATGTGTTGTGTGCCACTGTGATCTAAAGAAACTTAAGAATAGATCTCAAAATGTTGTAAATATTTTAAAGTGGCAGAAGAGACATAATGTAACAGTGTGCCTGTTCATATATTTTAGTATTCATGGCATCTTTGTCAGACCAAGTCTTGTACGTCAGAGATACGAACATACAAAAGGAACAATTTATCCCATGCAAGGAATTTAAATGAGCAGTTTGCTATGTTGAATAGCACTTATAATACTATGCCATTGGACCACAGGAGATTTATGATGTCTCTTTCCATCTGAGAAACATGAGCTTGGGCTGTTTGCTCAATTTAAAGCCTAATTAAATCTGAAAAATGTGGCTCATTCTAACATTCTTTTTCTGCAGTCGCATACAACGAGACAGTCTCCTACAAGATGACATTTATATAAAAATAACTGGACTTCAATTTCGACTTTCCACTTTATTGTTCATAAAAAAAGAATGCAGTCTTAATGCAGTCTCCAGCCCTTTTTGCACAGGAGTATTATTACCCGAGAGTATCATTTTCTTCCAACTTTACATAATATTTTCCTTTATTGAATTGCATATATTTCAACTTGCTGACCAATAGACTAACTGAATGTCTATCTATATAAAAAACCTACCACTTTAGTCACGTAAAATTCAATGTAAAAGCAATTCCATAACATAAAACCTAGAGCACATAGAGCCATCACTGCCTACCTCGATATATAGTCAAAAAATAATCTTTATCGCCAAACCATGACCGTAAACCCAGCCATTTTTTATTTAAACAACTCATAAGCGGGCCTAGGAGCCTTTTAAGAATTGGATGACCTGGTAGATAAAGGGATTTCTTCCCCGGTTAGACCTGGCCTTCAGTGCTCAAATCTCTGTTCAGAGGGGAGACACTCCTGATACAGACAATGGAGAGGGCTCTTCAGAACTAATTTCGGCCTTTTTGAAATTGCTCTCTTAGAAAAATGATAGACAGTACAGGCAGTTTAACACCATTGATCTTAACTGCCACTCTTACTGAGCAATAAAAAACTACTGTTAGTCTGTCTAGTGTAATCCTTTATTGGTTTTCTGAAGCTTTTCAGACATATACAGCTAGTGTTTTGATGGTAACCAATAAACACCCTAGTTTGCAGTAAATGTTTAACTTGGGCTATGGGTGTTTTTTCTTTCAAAACACTTTAAATGCTTGAAGTGCATTCCCCAGTATCTGACTGAGGAATCCACAATTACAAAAAACTGAGTGAAATACATATCAATGCTAATGCAATTAGAATAAGTAAAGTTGAACTGATCATCAGGGACTGCTGCCTCTGCTGCTGGTGGAAAACTGCTGAGCTCTAATCATGCATTCATCCTGATGTAACAGGTTACTCCGAGCTGGGGAATACACTGCAACATTTCTGCAAGTCAAATGTCTGGAAACTGCAAAAATATGTAAAACTGTGAGACACGATTCGGCCCTTTGGGATTGCATAATTAATTCAAATTCTTCTCATTTCTGTTTCATGTTGTCAGGATATTTTGTCACTTAATTACACAGCTAGTCTGCGTTTATCCTCCTCTCCAACTTTAAAATATATTATAAATTTGACACCTACAAAATTCCGCATACTTATGCATTCTTCACTCCTATTGGAAAATGTCCCCCCAAAGTGCATAATACAGAACCTTTGTGTATATTTGACTGGCAAAACATATAGGGGACTGATCTGATTTGACCTTTTGATTGGGGCATCTCTGCAGCTGACGTTACAGCTTTTGAGTATTGGCTAGGACCCCCATAAAGACCTGAATTCATGAAGGCATAGCTTCAACAAGGTGCTGGAAATATTTCTTATTTCTTGAGATTGAGACACGTAATGTTTGCTGGTTACAGATTGCAAATCTCCCGTTCCGCCATGGGCGCCATTTTGTTGGAAAAAGTGGTGGGGACACTTTTTTCAGTTAAACAAAAAAACACTACTGCCCGGAAACAATACATCCATATATACATACATCCAAATGATTACAATACTTTCTGACAACTAGTGCAGTATGCTACGCTGCTGCAAAGTTGGAAATGGCTTTACTATTCTCTAATAAGTTATTACATTAAACATGTTGCAGGTCCAAACTGCACCGCTTGGGTTACCAGAAATACACCCTGAAGTTGAGAAAAGTCCTCCAGATTGTACATGTTGTACACTTTCTCAAAGTGTAAAACATTTTTTGGAACATTTCTAAGAAATGATCCTAATGCAAAGTGGTTGGGACAAAATGTCCCATTTCTAAAAGTGCTGGGGACATGTCCTCAGCGTCCCCGGTATAAATGACGCCTATGTGTTCCACCACATCCCCTGCAACATTATTTCGAGATTTGGTGACAGTTGAAGTACACTGAACTCACTGTCAGTTTCATGCTTGTGTTTATTAAATCACGGAGGAGGTAAAAGCCAACAGATAAATACATATATTTATTTATTCAGTAACTGAGCTCTGATGGTACATTTAGTGTCAAGGTAAAGTTGATTAAAGTGGTGTTATTCCCTACAGTGATGATGTATACCTCCTCCCACCTGAGGGAGGCTGTAGGACACTTATCATACCGATGATCTGACCCTGACAGAACACCTCAAAACAAACAATGAATAATTTACAGGCCTCATCCTCACACTGACTCTAAACCGTGACATGTGCCGCGCTTTTGTTACAGCTGCTGCCGCTATTGACAAGACTCTCACGGCAGCCTCTACCTGTTTTGATTTTCCGCTTCATTTTCCCTGAAGGGTCTTTATTTCTGAGTTGATTCCCACTGGTGGATTATTTTGAACCCTCACTGCGAGTTAGCTATTGTGTGTTCTGTGTTGTTCTGCAGTTCTGCTGCCACAGCAGGGAGTGTCCCAGGAGTACAGCCATACTGCCATGTCCGACTGTTCCCATCTCTATTTGCTATGTGACATGTGCTACTGAGAGAGGGCCACAGCACGGCGTATACTGCCACCCGAAGTCCCCGGCCGGAAGTCCCCGGAGTTGGGGACTGGCTTCAGTAGAAGCTGCTGGGACTCCCAGCAGCTTCTACTGAAGCCTTCCGAGTAAATCGCCAGAACGCAGACACCTCCTCATCTCCACCGCTCCCATGTTTTCTTTTGTGTTGCCATAAGTTATTCTCTCTCCGTTGGTGCGCGGGGCTAATGCTGATGCTAATAATGCTAATGCCACAAATACAATGATGGCTTCACAAAACTTTTCAGAGTTTTACGGGGCGTGGTTTGCAATTCGCCCAGCCAATAGAAATTGGTACTTTTTTGGTACCACCTCTCAGCAGGCACTGAAAACGGCACTAAGTACTCTTTTTGGTGTGAACGCGACATAAGGGGTTCTAACGGAACTAAACGGGAAAAGTACGGGGAAAAGTACTCCGGTGTGAACGCGCCTAATGATTATCAAAATGAATGCAGATTTACTCACTGTAAACTAATTGATTATTTACTGATCATATGAACTCTTCACTCAATCAAGTTTAAATGAACTCCGGTGTTCATCAAAGCAAAACTTTATATTTCCAAGATCTTTATTTTGTCGTTTGTCAGTGAGCGGAATCGTTCCTTGACAGCTTTTGTATTTATGGAGGGCAGCAGAAAGAGTCCACAGACTCAGTAGTTTCATTCCAAATTGGATAAGGAAAAATGAGAGAAGTCAGAGAGGAGGAAAATTGAATTTAGAGATGAAGAGAATCAAGGGAGGGAGCAGACTTGAAATTACAGCAGCTTGACTGGCACACAATGTAAAAGACAAAGGATGAAGGAGAGACAAAAAGGAAGAGAGGATGGAAGAAGATATGCTGTTCTCTCTGACTGCCTCACAGTGTGTTGCTCAGACTCAGGCAGAGGCTGTGCTCCCATAATTCAGTCTGATTTAGGGCTGTGATAGAGCGCTCGGGGATAATAAGCAGTATCATTTGCAGAAAGGTGTGACCAGACTTGATAAGTACGATGCCAGTGTTTGCAGCACGTCTTGTCCCCTCCTCAATCTCTCTCTCAGTTCAAAGTCAGTTCAGTTGCATTCAGCTCTGTCCAGTTCATTTCACTTTTTAATGAACACTTAATATCACTTGAGTTGAGTTCAAATTAATTTAGTTCAGTTCAGTTAGGTTGCAATAGCATATCTGGCTTTCTTACGTAAAGTGTAATCAAGCTGTGCTTTCAAGGCCAAATAATATATCTTTAACTGACTCAACACTCAACACTGTAGCACTGCAGCTCCATTCTGCTCTTTGTTGAATTGTTTACACCACAGCAACTAAAGCCACATGTTGTACACAATGGGATTAAGCCCCTGAGATGTTAAAACATGGCAGCAAACAATTCAACTCAATTAGGGAGGTTGTGGCTCAGTGGTTAGTGCACTGATCTTCGGAACACGGGGGCACTGGTTCGAATCCCGCTGCAGTCAACATTCTGCTGTGTCCTTGGACAAGACACTTCACCCTAAATTGTTCATGTGGGGATTGCTCACAGTATTGAATGTATGTAAGTCGCTTTGGTTAAAAGCATCTGACATGTAATTCAATGTAATTAAGTTGATTTAGAAAAATATTGCACTTTTTCATACATAAACCAAATTATATTTAACTTTTAGAGCAACGGCCCAAACATTTATGATGCTGACTTATACAATCTTAACAACTAAAAAACTCCCCTCTGAATTTGTAGACGTGTATGAACTTGAAAACAGGTTTTGAAGAACCTTTTTTTGTTTTTGTACTATATTTTTTTGGGCAACCAGTGCCTTTGTTCAATTGAGTGTTTAAAGGGGGAGATAGAGGGGATGACCCACCGCAAATGGTCTGATTCGGGCCAGATTCAAACCCAAAATGAACCAATCTTTTATGGCATAAAAAAATATGTGAATTCAAAAGTTAACTGCTATTGCAAAGCTACTTCAAAATATAGATACACTTTGGATTGCATGTAGTTTGATACTCCCCAACACAGGGTACAGTTGATTATATCTGAAAACGACAGTCGTCATGTCGACTTGCATAACTTGGCAGTTGCTGGCTGAGAATGAGAAGCCTGCTTTTGTGTACTTCTTCCTGAAATCAAAGACCCATTGTTTCAGAAATGACTGACACATGTGAGTGTTAAACCTGCCACTTAGTAAAAACTGTTTCCTATGTGAGAATGGAAAGGCTTGACAGGCATAGCAACAGTTACTAATGCTGGCAAGCTTAGAAAACCTCACATTATTTATCTAAGAGGTGAGTCATTATTTTGAAACCTGCTTTGTAAAGTTTTAGTTTATAATTTAGAAAATCATGTAGTGTTCCTTAACTATTAACCTTGAACATGTTTTATATTATTCATTCAATTTGTTACCAATGTTCAATGACAGACTAGGATTTTCTCCACCTCCAGCTTTGTGTGGGCTGCTGTATTCACAGTGCAGACCCTAATTAAATAATGAAGTTTACATGACATCTCCAGCCCACTAAATACTGACCTTAAATTAATTCAGTTTTCAGCAGAAGATCTCAGATAGCGCTGTGCGTCCTGAGAAACATTTTCGAGCAGTTTCTCTCTACATTTTGTACCTTTTCTTTATTTGAACATGTTCCACCCTCTGAATCAGCCACACACTAAAGTAATTTGTCGACTCATTTCTGAAATCTCCCCTCTCATGTGATAAAGTTCCTTTGGCATGGCCCGACCGACTATCAGCACTTGGCACAGCTAATGGCGCTCGTTCAAGGATGGGACACGGCAATAAACTTGTCAGCACATATAACAATGTCGGACAGATGAGCAGGAAAGTGCATTCTGCCTTCCTGCCCTCTCATCTTAATAGCAGCCATCTCCTGCACGGCATGTCCCCAGACAGATAACTCATTTCATACTGCTATTAACAGCAAGGGTGACATTGTGTCCATCATGGCGGCTTTATGTAAAACAGGATCCTTTGTGTCGTGACATGTCTATAAAGTTATTTAGTGATGATCATTTGATGCTGCAGTCTGGTAAAGGTGAAGATAGGGAATGTAATATTTGTCTTGTCGCTTCCATAAAATGAAAGATAATAGGGGTGTTCAATATAATGTTTTTCTTTTGATGTATTTTCCGTTATGTAAGCCCCCTTATTAGGTGATGAGTCAGCTAATAAGTTGATCCTAGTTGACTAAGATGTCTTTAGTCGATTAGTTATTTTTTCATACTTATTTCTAATATAATGCTTTCATTTCTTTCCCCATTAATCGTTTCTTTGGGACATTCTCTTTTGCGATGCAAGGGTCTATGGACAGAGGGTTATGCTCTACACATTCTCTAAATTATTGAAAATGTTTTAATTTGTGATATTGGGCTATAAATAAAATGTGATTGATAGATTGATTTGAATCTCAGCCTGATGTTACCATCCATAATAATTAACTTGAGGATATTTTATGTACCTCAAGCGGCATTCCCTGAGGCTTTATGGTTGTGGGGGTTGACATTCTGTCTGTATAACCTCTTTTAAGGGCTGTGGTGAATTTGAGTGACAGGTGGGGTTATCTCAGGTCACTGGCTGCCCATTTTTGGTTTATCTTTGAGTTAGACTTAAACGTCACTGCAGAACCTTCTTCCAGATTCACAACTGCTCCTCCAAAAGCTACCGTTGACGTTAGGGATACTTTGACCATATTTCATACAATCTATGATTAACTTCTGTATTTCATCTTCCCTTGTCCCCTCAGGAGCCCTGCCTAACTGTCCACTAAGGATCATGCCCTCCTGTTTTATAGATGGCTCCCTCTGCATTCAGTTAACAGAATCAGCACCTCAATCATACAGCCAGGCTGCACCACAGGGACAGAGAGGGACCAATCCATTTGGAGGCATGCAGGCGCAAGTGGAGTTATCAGCCTGTGTGAACGGAGGTGAGTCGGCTTTTAGTATATTCTGTCGCGGGCGGATCAAGGTGGTGGGAGGTTGTGACAAAGGTTACTTCGTCACTGTGGACTGACGGCTTCAGGCCTTGTAATATTGCACATGTGGTTGAGGCCCATTCCCAAACCGCCCCCTACACCCTACCCCTACACCCTACCCCACACGTTCACGCGGAGGGTCCGCCATATTGAGGGCTGTTCCAAAGCAACGAGTGTGGAACGGTGTGGAGGGGGAGTGGGCTATCAAGCCCTCAAACAGCGAGTCTGCAGCGGTGCTGACTGGAGACCGGTCTCTACCTGACCGGAGTCACGCTGTGTGT